GGTTTTTTTTCTTTTCCCGCCTCTCCCTCTTGTGTTGTTGCTGCTGCTGCTGCTGCTGTGCGGCGGCACCCTCCTCAGGGGCCGGTGTGTCGCTCTTGTGCTTCCGCTCCCGCTTCCTCTTCTCTCCGTTGGTGGCGGCCGTCACCGCCTCGTTCTCCTTGCTCGCCTCCTGCGGCTGCGTGTGCTCGGCCCGGCCCTCCGTCGCTGGCGGCACCTCCTTTCGCCGCTGCTGTTGCTGTTGCTGCTGCTGCTGCTGCTGCGGCACACCGCCGTGCTCCTGGCCGGCCTTCCGCTCCGTCACAAGCACCAGCTGATAGCGGCGGCCAGGCGTCACAATGACGTTCCCCTCCGCGTCGTACGGGAGCAACAGGTGGCCCGTCTGCGTCTCGCGCAGCGCCAACGCGCCGCCGTGGCTCTTGCCGCCAAACGCATAGGTGGGGTTGAAGGTGTTCTGCAGCTCCGATGCGAGACGCACCGTCAGGTCGTCAATGATGATGGTGGGCATCGCGCTCCCCGGCGATGCAGAGAAATTCCTTTCCACTGCGCGACGTACAACGACCAGAAGCCAACAAGGGAAAGAATGAAGGAAAGACGCGGAGCCGAGGCAAAAAAAAGAAAGAGGTCAGCACACACCAAAAAAAAAAAATGCAAAGACAACGCAGCGATACATCTGTGCTTCGGGAACGGGACTCCAGACCACCCTCTCCTCCCACGCCCTCACTCGCAGCACCTCAAACAACCACGAACGGACTGCCAGGGGCACCGCCGCCCTTCACAAGACGCACTTTCATTGTCGCTCTCGCACCACGCGTACTCTGTTGCGTGCCACACTCATCGTCACTCTCACTGCCATGCAGCAGGAACCCATCCGCATCGGAAAGCGGCTCCACAAAGAGACGGAGATCCGACGCTGCCGCACACCACACCGGGACACCCAACGGCCCCGCTGGTAGCGATGTTGTTGCTGCAGCCGAAGAACGCCGGTGATACATGCTGGTGCACCCATTCACAAACACAACAGTCACACTGCCCCAAGTCGCACCAGCGTCGCTGCCGACAGGACGTTGATTGCCGAGAAACGTGTCATGCGTCTTGCCGCAACCGTCTCCCGCTCGCTCACACGGAGCCTCCCTCCATCCGTTACCCACCGTGACAGCATTGCGCACCTCGCGCACGAGCTCCGCAGCCATCCAGTGGCGCGCGTGTGCGGTAGCCCCGCACGTTGGGTGCTCCCAGATTCGAGCCACGCTATCCACCACCACCAGCACACGGCGTCGATGCATGTGGTGGTGCGCCGCGACATACTCTACGCGGTAAAGAAAGCGAAAGAACGCCAGCAGATCATTGGGCGTTGAGAACGGCACAAGCCTCACTTTCTGGAGCAGAGAGGACACCCCAGCATCATCGTCGTTGTCATCGTCGCACCGCACGGTGGACGCCGNCGCGGTTGCGAGTGCCTTCGCCAGCAGCTCGTGCACGTGGCGGGCGCTGAGCGATGATGGGTCCGAGTGCACGAGAAACAGACACCAGTCGTCCGACCCACACCCTTCTTCTTCCGCCCGCTGCGGCTGAGGATCATCTTGACGCGCGCGCATCCTTCCAGCAGCAGCAGAAGCAGCAACAAAGGCCGCCGCCATCTGCAGCGCGAGGCGCGACTTGCCTGCTGCTGGCGGGCCGCATATCTCCAGGACCGCGCCGCACGCGACGCCGCCGTCCGGCAGCAAACGGTCAAGCGCAGCGCTGCCAGTGGAGATGACGGCGTCGCGGCGGAAACTGCGCCGCACGTCGAGCAACGACGCCGATGTGGCGGTGAACGAAGAGGCTGTGAGGGCGGCAAGACGCTGTGCGACGTCTGCAGCGGTCAGCGCTTCCCACGGCGGGGGACACGCCGACATCCCGAGCTGTCACGTCACACGCAACTCCCGCCGCACGCCTGCTGCGTCTTCCTGGTGGTGCTTTCGTGTGAGCGCCCTTCTGAGACACGTTCTCTCTCTTCGCTGCGGCGCGTCTTGCTACGGCAGAGAAGGGGAGAAGAGAGAGAGAGAGAGAGAATGTGTGTGTGAGAATGCCTGCCCACGTTCTTGTCGAGGGGCATGCGCCCATGCGCACTTCCACTGCTGTTAACACCACTGCCACCGGCGCATCAAACACACACACACACACAGCCAAACACACGTCCACGTCTTGTTATTGATGCTGCTGCTTCAGATCATGTCTCACGCCTTCAGAGACTTCGCATTTTCCCGTCGCCGCTGCGCGTTGTGGCGCCGTGCCACCACCGCAATAGCACCGCGCGCCAACGCAAAGGACACCAGCGCGGGGAACGGCCACTCCTGAAACCACTGCGCCCAGTCCAGCTGCGTGAAGATGGCGCCCACCAGAATCGCCACGTACAGAACGAGCGTCTCCACCAGCCGCCGCTTCTCGTTCCCGAGATTCTTCACCGCCTCCTGTCCGCCCACATCAGCCAACAGCAGCTGGCGGACCTCCGAGAGGCCCAACGGAAGCGTAATGCTCACCAGTAAGCTGAACGCGAAGGTGAACGCCGCAGTGTGGGCGCGTTCAACCTGTGCACCTGCGGCTGCGAACACGATGAACCACAGCGTCGCGTCCATCAGGTAAGAGAGGAGATCGTGCGCCATTCCTTCACTTATGCAGCTCTTGTTACCAATTCCGACTCCCCCTGAGAAGCAACAACGAAAGAGAAGGAAAGGTAAGAGTCGGGAGAAAAGTGGAAGCCACCAAGAAACAACAACACGATTGGACGCAAATGAGGTAGTAAGGCAAACCGTAATGGAAGCAATATATATATATGTATATATATATATATATAGATATCAATGCGCGTGTGTGGAATAGACGGTAATGGAACACTGACAGATGTACGAGTGTTTATCCCTATTTGCGACCTTTTTTCTTTTCTTCTGTGTATTACATTAGATTGTATTATATATACACACACATAGAATATAATACAATCTAATGTAACACACAATATAAGAGAGAGAGAGAGAGAGAATGTCAGCGACCGAGCGCGGTAGTGAGAGGGGACGCGACTCTCCTACTCCTTCGTACCGGCGCTGCCGGTTTTGTGCGGCACAGCGCGTTTGTCGAGGACGACCGGACGCGTCGCGTAGAGCCGGTTTACGAGCGCCATGCGGCGCATCTCGTTGAGTTTGTTGCGGCCCTCCTGCTGCAGGAAGCGGCGCTGCTCGTCGACGCTCCACCGCTCCATCGCGGTGAATTGGTCGCGCACATGCTGCAGGAAGTAGCTGCGGAAGTTGTAGTCCGGGAACGTCTTGGCGGCGCGCAGCATCTTGGTGCGCAGCCGCCCCATCGAGTGTTGGACGGAGGTGGACATGGCGACGGCGGCGGTATTCACTTCTCTTCCCACTTCCTCGCTCTCTCTGTGTCTGTGT